CTTGTGAGGGAATTAGAAAAGAAGTTTAGTGGAAGGGTTAGTTTTTCTGTGGCTTTTGCTTCCCACAGTTTTCATTCTACCTTTGTCTTGTATATTTGTAGGTTTGCTTGTTTGGAGAATGAGAAAGCTAGTGGAATTATCTAATTCTGCATTGGGAATTATTCATTTTGCAATCTGAAATTAAGTGCTTTAATGATTAATTGTATGACATCATTTTTTCTGTCATGTTTTTTTTATTTTAAAAAAAAAGAGTTGGGTATAGTTACAACAACATACAAAATTTGGCAGGCCTAACTGTAAAATTCTAGGAAAATTTTGTTAAATTCTCGTCTGTTTGAGCAGCCTCTTGTTCGAAACTTACGAATTTGAAAAAAATTGAGTTTTATCTTAAACTTTATTGAAGCTCTCGAGTTTCAGGCAGTTATTATAACAAATTTATGCTAAAACTGGTTTTAAATGTCTGTTGTTGTGGTTACAACTGCATTTTAATCACTAACTGAAGAAGATCATTATGTTGGTATGAACTTAATTGTGAATTTTATGAAAAGTATTAATAAATGTGATACCTTGAATCTTACTAATGAGTTAATGTTGCAATTCATAAAAAATAAGGCGCCCCTTGATATTAAGCAACACCCAAGCTTCTTTTGACAATTCCTAATGTAAATGTTCCTACATGTACATTCTATTCCTAACCGGATATGGCCTTGAAAGTTCTTGCCAAGTCCTAAGTTTTATATTTAGTTATGGATCATCAAATTGAGTTTGATTTACTGCATCATTTGCGTCTTCATTGATTGCTTTTTATTGGCTTTGCAAATTTGTGTTATAACTTATAACCATCTTTTCATCGATGAGCTGAAAATCATCTGGCATTTGTGACTGTTGTGCAAATTTAAAATTTTTAAATAACTCATATTAGGCTTAGTGTGCATTGCAGGTGTAATACTTTACTCCTAAAATTACCCAACAAATCTTTTGTTTTTTGGGGCATATGGATCCTCTCTTTTATCTAGTTCTCTATCCTCCTTGACTATTCACATTTTTCCTTGTAGCATTTGGTTTATTTTATGCAACCTTTTATTTTGCAGGAGGTCGTTATTATTGCTTCTCGGAGGATAGTGATGCCACCCAAGAAAGGTTCCTCAATCACTCGCCCTCGCAGCCGCACTCTCACTGCAGTTCAGGATGCTATTTTAGAGGATATTGTTTACCCTGCAGAGATTGTTGGAAAGCGTGTAAGATATAGGTCGGATGGCTCCAAGATTGTCAAGGTGAGCAAGTGTTTTTATAAACTAAGTTCTTATAAGCCGAATCTATTAGTTTTGTACTAATTGTTCTTAAACTAAGTTCTTATATTTTTTTGAGCTACATTGTGCATGATAATATATCTATCTGAATTATTGACTCTATATGTTCAAGTGAAGGCAGTACTCATAACATGCTCTTGATATAGTTCTAGAATGTCCAATTAAAAAAAAAGTTTTTAATCACTAACATAACTGGTTGTTGTTAGACCGGTCCTTAGTGGATTGGTCATGCCGGCCCCTTCTAAGGCGCCGGTTTATGCCTACAGGAGAAGGGGGCGGCGGGAAGAGAAAGAGAGGGATTGGGTGGGGTCCACTAGAGATTCAAAATTCAAAGTTTGGAGTCAAAGGAGGGGGTGGCATGGGCTTTTGGGTCTTTTTGCTTTAATGTTTAATTGTATTTTTTTTATTTTTTATTTTTTTAATGATTAGTTGTATGCCTTAAGTATGAGGGAGAAATTAGGGTTAGGGTTATGCTTCATTATTGTGTTCTCTTGGAGTTTCTTCTTGTTATCTTGGAGTTCCTTCTCTCGAATTGAGGATCAATTATATCTTTGTTTTGTTTCCTTCTGTTGATTTGATTCCTATAATAAAATCTAATGTTTTTGATTGTTTTCATTGGATTGTTGAGTTTTTCTTACTGATGTTATCAATCTTGTTAGGATTTACTTGAAATATTGAAGTATTTCCTATCCGTTGTCTTCCTAATCTCATTAGTATTATTATATTTTTTTTCCAGGAGAGACCTCTTTATTTCAATACATGTCATGTAGTTATTTTCATGTTTCTTATCATATTGATTCTTGCATGATTATGTTATTATCAAGCATTTCTACTATTTTGTTGCTTAAGCTTTGTCTGGGATGACTTTCTTAATGCTTCTTGAAACAACGTTTTTGTAAAAAAAAAAAAATTTTACACTAAAAAACTGCTTCAAGAAGCAGTAAAAAAGCTGTACAAAACTAAGGTTCCTTAGTTACCATTAATTTATAACAACAAATTCCATTGTTTTCTTGCAGATTTTCCTGGACCCTAAGGAACGCAAC